GTACATTAAAAGTACACTCTGTTATCTAGAGGACTCTATTTATATAATCTGCTTATGGTGCTTTGAAAAGTTTGATTTGTATGATGATATGTGTTTCTACTAGATTGGGAGTTCATTGAGGGCAGGAACTGTCTCTTATTTAGTTCTTCATTCATGCTATTAGCAGGCACCAAGCTAGGGACTAGGAACTGTGCCAAGGCTCTCACTGTCTGGCTCTCTCTACACAAAACAGGTAAACTTACCAGTATTGTGTAGGGGAACAACTGCTATGATAGAGGACAGATGCAAGGCTTGATGTGTTGTTCTATTAGTCTGTTCTCGCATTGCTATAAAGAACTACCTCAGACTGGATAATGTATAAAGAAAAGAAGTTTAATTGGCTCTCGATTCTGCAGGCTATATGGAAGCATGGCTGGGGAGGCCTCAGGAAACTTATAATCATGGCAGAAAGCAAAGGGGAAGCAGTCACGTCTTACATGACTGGAGAAGGAGGAAGGCAAAGGGGAAGGTGCAACACACTTTTTTTTTTTTTGAGATGGAGTCTTGTTCTGTCATCCAGGCTGGAGTGCAATGGCATGATCTTGGCTCAGTGCAACCTCTGCCTCCCAGGTTCAAGCGATTCTCCTGCCTCAGCCTCCCTAGTTGCTGAGACTACAGGCATGCATCATCATGCCTGGCTAATTTTTGTATTTTTAGTAGAGATGGGGTTTCACCATGTTGGCCAGGCTGGTCTTGAACTCCTGACCTCAAGTGATCTGTCTGCCTCAGCCTCCCAAAGTGCTGGGATTACAGGCATGAGCTACTGCACCTGGCCAGTGCTACGCACTTTTAAACAACCAGATCTCATGAGAACTCACGCACTATCATGAGAGCAGCAAAGGGAAAGTCTGCCACCATGATCCAGTCACCTACCACTAGGGCCTTCCTCCAACATTAGTGATTACAATTTGACATGAGATTTGGTTAGGGACGCAAATCCAAACCATGTCATTGGTCAGGAAAGGAAAGTTCATTATGGTGGGCTGGAGAATGCTTCACAGAGGCAGAGTTGTAAAAACAATATATTCTTTAGTTGTGACTTGAAGGATCTATTGTCTTATTTTATTAATTCTAAGCACTTTCTTTTTACATCCTGAAGCCAAGATATGAGTTTTGATCAATGTATGCATTTAATGTGGCAATATTTCTTTCTCCCCAAATCTGGTATTATTTTGGTCATGTTTCTTACAGTCTCTGACATCTCAGTATTAAGAAGATATATTAAGTATTAATATATCTTAATATATATATTAATACTTAGTATTAAGAAGACTTAGAGTCTGTGGTTGCACAAAATAGACTCCAACTTGATTTTTAAAAAAATGTTGAAGGTGGGTAAAAGGTGTATTATTTCCTTATTGCTGCCATAATAAAGCACCAGAAACAGTGAATTAAAATAACACACATTTATTCTCCTATAGTTCTGAAAGTTAGAAATCCAAAATGAGTCTGAGTAAGCTATAATCAAGATGTCAGCAGTTCCAGTTCCTTTTGGAGTCTCTAGGAGAGGAATGCATTCTTTGTCTTTTCCAGTCTTTGGAGGGTTCCTGTATTCCTTGTCTTGTGACCACATCCTCCATCTTTAAATTGTATTACTTCAATCTGCTTCTCTTGTCACACAGTCTACTTTCTGACTCCAATCCCTCTTGCCTCCCATTCACAAGTCTCTTGTGATTACACTGGATCCATCTGGAGAATCCAGGATCATCTACCCATCTCCAAATTCTTAATCACATTGGCAAAATCCCTTTTGCTATATAAGGTAACATTCACAGGTTTTGAGGATTAGGACATGAACATCTTTGGGGGCCACTATTCAGCCTACTAAAGAGATAATTTATTTTAAAGATATTGATATGGCTTTAGACACCAAAGGTGACATGATAGCCATGTTCCAGGAAGAGCCTAGAAACTTCATCTCATATATTGCTCCTGTCTCTGTGTCTATATTCATTTCTGTCTTTTTTGGCAGACTGACTTCCTCTGCAAGTCAGCCAGTGCATAGAAATATGATTGCTGACAACTCCTGAGACTCTAAGTTAGGATTTCACTGTCCAGAATTGCTTAGCTCTCTCATCTCTATTCCAAATCCTCAAAGAAAAAACTCTGATTGGTGTTCTTGGGTCAATTCCTCCTCCTCCAAGGGTGTAGCCAAAGGTGTAGAGCTCTTCCACATTGTACAAATGACTGCCAGCAAGAAGGCATTTCAAGACGTGCTCATACTCTACAAAATAGTCCTCTATGAAATATGACTAATTGTTCACGAGGAAATTGAGTAAGAGGTTGACATTTTACATAGAAGGTACTAGCACTTAGTCAAGTGTTTTTCAAATAGTGGGTATCCAAGAAATATTTCCTGAATTGAGTTGTGAAATTTCTCCAAAGTGTCTTTTCATCTATAAGGTTTTGTCACCTTAAGCCTGTAATCCTGCAGTCAGTCTCATTGCACCTACCCTCTCCCTTGCCGTGCCATATTGTTACAGCCCACATTTTGGACCAGAATTCTTCAGTTGCTTTCTTTTCATTACAGAATAAAGTTGAAACTCTACTATAGATATATAAAATGAGGGGGCTGGGTGAGGTGGCTCATGCTTGTAATCCCAGCACTTTGGGAGGCCGAGGTGGGCAGATCACTTCAGGTCAGAGGTTCAAGACAAGCCTGGTAAAATCCCAAGTCTACTAAAAATACAAAAATTAGCTGGGCCTGGTGGCACACACCTGTAATCCCAACTAATTCAGAAGGTGAGGCAGAAGAATTGCTTGAACCCAGGAGGTGGAGGTTGCAGTGAGCTGAGATCGCACCACTGCACTCCAGTCTGGGCAAAAAAGTGAGACTCTGCTCTGATTAGTTTGGTTTCCAACTGCTGCCCGGGCATTTGTCTCAATCATTCATTCATTCATTCATTTATTTTGAGATGGAGTTTAGGCTGGAGTGCAATGGTGCGATCTTGGCTCATTGCAACCTCTGCCTCCCAGATTCAAGCGATTCTCCTGCCTCAGCCTCCCGAGTAGCTGGGATTACGAGTATGCACCACTACATCTGGCTAATTTTGTATTTTTAGTATAGACAGTGTTTCTCTATGTTGGTCAGGCTCGTCTTAAACTCCTGACCTCAGGTGATCCACCCGCCTTGGTGTCCCAAAGATCTGGGATTCGAGGCATGGGCTACCGCGCCCGTCTCAATTATTCTTGTGGCTACACCTTTGTTTTTGCCTGGGACTCCAGCCTTGGAAATGCCAGATTCTACCTTCTGGCTTCTTTAGTCTTGCCCTATTCCTTCAGGCCCTTCTAGACTACAAATGTTCATTCTTTCCTTTTAATTCTAAAAACATTTTGAGTCTGTTCTACATAGAATCTCAGAGCAGATTTTTTTAGTCCCTTTTCCAACCCAAATGTGGGAAACCATCCATACACTGCCTTTCTGGTGGCTATTTTGCTTCTACTTGAATAGTTTTAGTGTTGATGAGCTAAACTTAGGCTACTCGTCCCCATTTTTTCAACAGCTCTAATTAAATAACTAAAACATGCAATTATCTTTTTAGTCATGACTGTCTTGCTTTTTTAATAAAATTTTCAGTTCTTCTAGAGGAACAAAGTAGCTGCTCAAAAGGCATTGATTATATTTATGCCTAAAATTACAATTTTCTAACATAAGTTAAACCATTGCTACCATTTTTATTTTCTTTTATTCCAGCTTTACCATACCTCGGAGAAGATGACCTGCCATTATAAGGCTTATGATTATTGTCACAATACCTACAACAGGTTTCTGAGCAGAAAGAAAGCAAAGAAAATCCTCCAGACACTGAATCTGCTGGTACCTTCATCTTGGCCTTTCCAGCCTCCAGAACTGTAAGCAACACATTTCTCTTTTTAGAAATTAATTACCCAGTCTAAGGTATTTTGTTATAGCAGCCCAAATGGACTGAGACAGACCATATTTGCTTCTCTGTACTTCTTTTAAAACACACTTAATAATATAGCAATGACATCTATGTCAATATACAAACATTTAATTATTTTTAATTGTGTATCATAATCAGTTATTTTCCCCTGTTGACCAATGCTTATGTTGTTTCCAGTTGATTCTTTTATTCTGATTCCTTTACCTTAAAAGATACTAAAATTGTAAAAGAACACTATATTCCCACTCACAAATTCACCCACTGTTATGGGCTGAATTTCATCCTCCCACTGCAGGTAGGGGCCATCCAGGTAATGTTCTGAGTAAAGAGAACTAAATGTAAGAGACAGAGTGGTGGGGACTGTGGTATATTATAGAATACAGGCTCCTTCTAAAAGGGCACCCAACACGCCATGATTCAGCTGATTACTGTCATATGGAAATACGGGTCTCATATTACCAGGTCTTCAGGTTTTTTAAAAAGAAGCCATAAATCTGAAATTAGATGTGAAATCTTTCTTTCTTTTCTTTTCTTTTTTTTTTTTTTTTTTGGAGACAGGATCTCACCCTGTTTCCCAGGCTGGAGTGTGGTGGCACCATTTTGGTCCACTGCAGCCTCGACTTCCTAGGCTCAAGTAATCCTCCCATCTTAGCCTCCAGAGTACCTGGGACTATAGGCATGTGCCACTATGCCCTGCTAATTTTTGTATTTTTAGTAGAGAGGGGGTTTCACTATGTTGACCAGGCTGGTCTCGAACACCTGGCCTCAAGGGATCCTTCTGCCTTCACCTCCCAAAGTGCAGAGATTACGGGAGTAAGCCACTTTGCCCATCCTCAATTTTTAAATGTTTCAAATTAAAAAAAAAATTTGTGCTGGCCAATAATACCCTTTCCGTGCTGGTATAAGACCCACAGGCTACCCGTTTGCAACTTGTGCTCACTGGAGCAAGTAATTTGTGGAGCCGTAGGCAATTATCTCTCTGTACCTCAAAATTTCTTAGCATGAGGATGGTGGAGATTAGATGGCGGCAAATAAGTGCACAAGGAAGTCAAGTAATGTTTTAAACTACTGAGGTTTTTTTTTTTTATTGCAAAACATTTGTTACAGAAATTTCAGAAAGTTTTTCCTGTGGTATCTGCCAACTTCTGCTTTGAATTATATATCTAAACAATCAAGCTCAAAGTGCATTGTGAATCCAATGATACCTTTAAAAAAACAATTCTTCTAAGGATTTATATATATTTATAGTGTCGATAGATATGCAAACCATGGTCTATCCATACACAAAGAAGGAAAAGATGTATATATACTTAGCAAACCCAATTTCAAAACCATTGTATTTGTAGGAATTCATTTAAAAATGATATCTGAATAATTTCCCCCATTATAAACTAGGGTTAGAACGTTTACAAATGAGAGTCTAGGTCCTATATGATGAAATGGCTGTGAGTACAGTATGTTGCATGTACTGGTTTTGCACAGCAGTAGCAGCAATATAAACTCAGGTCAGATGCGGTGTGATAGGAAGCAGGCAAGTCTTCATCCCATCTGTTGTACTCTTCTTCTGAATCTCTCTCACAAAGATTCTGTGTTCAAGTTCAGATTTATGTGGCTAACAAATATACATGCAGGTATCATTCAGAACAAGAGTAACTCTGAATAAGGCAAGTTTCTTTTTCCCCCCTTTCAGTTCTCAGTGTATTTTGTGTGTACACTCACCAAGTCACAATCAAGAATCTGATCCTGTTGGCTCTAAATCAGAGGTCCCAAACTATTGCCTTTGGGACTGAATGCTGCTGGCAGACATGTTTGTTTGGCTAGCACACTGTTTGGGAAGCTGAATTTGAATGTCTTTGTGGTGCGATGTGTATTCTCTCACGGCTTATCTACAAACCCTGCTTCTTCTGCTGACTTTCACCAGTCCCATTCACACATTTGTGTGTTATGGATCTGGCCCCTCCATGTATTTGAATTTGCAGCCTCTCAATCTAGGTGCAGATGGCTGGTTTTAAAGATGTGTGGGAAGCTGCAGTGAAGATGTGTAGGGCTCTTGAGACTTAGAGAGACAAACATTGGATGGGGTGGATGAGAACACCAGCTGTATTAGGAGCATGGGGTGGAGGCAGGAGGAGGCTAAGTCAGTGGGAAGATCAGGCCTGGGACAAAGTCAAAATGTTTGGCTTTTTCCAAGTGGCTGCTGTTTCAGCTTACTGAGCCAGGGCCAACAAGGTCTAAAGGCAATGGGGGCAAGGGTCTGTTGGTCTGGTGAAAAAGCAGCCAGTCTTGGACTAAGAGAAGAGAATCAAGCAGAGGGGAGGAAGAAAGCCGCACGTCCAAGCACGAGGCTGTATTTCCCTCTTTGTCCCACAGGTCTCAGCCACTTGCCTCCTCCAGAGGAAGGCATGGGTCCTCATTGACATTGATGCTCTTTACAAAGCCTATGGACTTGTAGCCATACACATGTCTTTTCAGTTTCCAGCACACAAACGTTGTGCAAATACACAGGGGCCTGTAGGTTTAAGGAGGCCGGTAGGCTAGGTAATGTAAGGAAGGGAAAATTCACCTCACTCTTATCGCCATCTGGATTACCTGGTCACCAAAATCCTCTCTTCGACGACCCGTAGAAATGGTCACATGTTGCTTTCATTAGCAGTGAAGAGTGCAAGGAAATCATCAGAGAAAAGGTAATACAACTACCTTCTGAGAGGAATTAAAGAAAAAAATTGCTTTTCTTAAATTGGAACCAGCCTTTCCCTTTAGTTGACTCCAATCTTAGAGACAATATTCGACTTGTAAAAAGGAGAACGCTTAGGTCAATGCAGGCTGAGAGAAAAGTTTTTCTCTACTCATTTTAGGAGCAGTCATTTACAAAACTGTGCAAATTGGCTCCTCTCTTTTCCAGATGTTGAATGGCTTCTAGTAACGGTGATTTTCTAAAAAAGTAAACTCTTTAGAATCACCCAGTGCTTGATCAGACACCCAAACCCACGCCACCTGCCCCCAGCCTAGGCTCACCCCCAAAGTGAGGAAGCTACAAGACAAGGAGGGAGGTCTCTTGTATCATTGGATCACACATTCACAGCGATCTGCGCACTTGTGCATTCTCACAAATGGACTTTGCACTCTCATCTCTAGCTTGGCAATTTGCACCCAGCAGCTCTAAAGAATCAGAAATGTGTCTTGCATATATCACAGATGCACAACACCTAGACCTCGACAGACCCATGAGGCGTTGGCTTGCCATCTCTGGGTCCCATGGCTATACAACCTGCAGTTAATACTTTATTTCATATTATTTGTTCAGTACTTCAAAAAAAAAAAGATTTAAAAATCCCTTGGTTACTTTTTTTTTGTTTTTAATTTTTAAAAACTGAACATAATCCCCATAGTAAGAAGCCCAACCCTTTGAGTAAATTCCTAACCGGCTTAAGTGTCACAGCAGGCAACAGTAAAATGTTAAGTGCCTTAGAAAAGTCAAAAGAAACGCATAAACCAGTTCATGCATTTTGTCGACGCAAAATTAAGACTGGGTTTTTGAGAGCGATTACTTCATTTAAGTCACATTGTTATTGTTAAAGGATAGTGAGTTATAATGCAATATCTAGGCCAAGTATATAACCACCTACACACTAGCATCACTTTATCTAGAAACAACATAGTGTTACTAAATGAACATATTTATAAAATACTGTACACTGCTTCTGCATGGGGTTAGCAGATGTAAACAAACAGCTAACTCAACTGGAGTTTAAAATATCATTTTAAGTTCATTTGTCATAGACTTTTGCAAAAGACTTTTTGCATAACATGCCAGTTCATCTTTCACAAAATCACAACTTGCCTACCACAGCAGGACTCATTAGAGGAGATATATCAGCTTACACACATATTTTACAGTGATCTACAGGAACATGAAAAGCATCAAGCAGATCAGGAACAAAAATGCCCAGTTCACAAAGATGCTAAATAACATGGAATTGGGAACATGATGAATCACTGTAACATGTGCCTCTTTATTGAATGTTACAGAGTTATAAATGATTATAAAGCTGGCCTGTAACGTTCATTAATACAACCACATGCTACAACTATGCTGGGTTAAACATGGGTTACATACATGTTTCCATGTGTTTTGTAGTACAGCATTGCCCAACATATGAATGGTATAGCCTACAGATAGAGCATGATGGATGAATGGATAATATTTATCATCTTTAAAGAAATTAGACAGCCCAAACATTCAGGTAGACTGTACAGACTAGAAAGTTAAAAAAAAAGTACTATCCAGTTATCTACCATAATATTATCTATAGAAACCATATTTTAGAATACATTTGAAACATTCAGAAGAAACACATTTTGTGTTCTTATAAGTACATTTTTCTCATTTGATTATTCTTATATATAAATTTTAAAAGGGGAACTCTCAAAGTGCTAAATAATATCCTAGACCTGGAAACGTAGACATTTAGAAAAATCCAGTTCTGTAAAGTGCTGCATTCTGACTGCTAATACACCTTTTGGCTTGCAGAAATAACACAAACTAGTTATGTCAGTTGTACCCAAGCATTCCAGCTACTCATTCAAATCTATCAAGGAGGGGCCCTCTAACTATAAATATAAAGTCTATTGGTTAAGCAGGAGACCTCCACGGTCATTTTCATAAAACATCCTTAATTTTTTTTTCAATAGGAACAAGCAATTTAGAACAAATCATTACATATAGTAGTATATAAAAATTGGCACCTTTGAAGCAGATGATTAAACCACAGCTATTACTTCCTTGAGCTCTTTATGACTTTATTTACAGTCCTCAATAACTTGCTGCTCATAAACTGCTTAATTCACAAAGACAGGTAATTAACGTCCCCTTGATCAGGGATGTGGTGGAATCAATGGGCTGAGCATAAGCTGACTGCACAAGGCCACAGAATCAATGCCACATCGGTGCACAGAGAACCCGGAAATGGAAAGAAAGGGACTGAAAAAGAACACACATGTATGTGCACAGGAAAGAAATGGCCCATGGAAGTTACACAGTTCGTGTCTACAGTCATTTAAATTTGGCTTATATATTTCACACGTTTCACAGATGTTAGAATTTAATTTTCATGCACAGCAAAAGAACCAGGTAATTGCAAGATTAGGACTGTTGAGTATTTAGTTTCCCAGTTCCTATACTTTTCTCTCCTAAATCACAATGAATGGCAACACTTGCACTCAAAATGCCTTTCCCTCACTTCCAATCAGGCCCAGGATGAGGCTCTGGAGGTGTGTGTTTGATGTCAATGAATAATGGTTTCACCTCCTTCTTCGATTCCTCTATAGACCCTTCAGGGAGGCTTCAGCTTTTGATTGTGCTTGATACTTAAAATCCTCAACATGTTAGGATATAAGTGCATTGAACTAGCAACATCTAATTTAAAGAACAAAAATAACATAATCTTGGTTCAAACTCCAGTGCTGAGATTAGGCCTTCCTGAGAATCACAGAGAGATGGTCTCAAATGTAAAGTGCCTATTATAACTGTATTAATTATAAGCAAACATGGTTCCTTTTCCTCATTATCAATCAATATGGAACCAGGGGCTCATGAACCCTTTCAAGTTATATTGCAACTTTGCATGCATGTACATTTTTTTTTTTTTTTCTGGAGAGAGGGCCTAGAGTTTTCATCAGATCCTCATAGGGATTCATGACTCAAGGAAGTTTAAGATCAACTGATTTATTCTCAGACCCTGTGCATGTTTGCTGGAATGGAAATAGCCAATATGGGGCCCAGTAAAATGTTAAGTGTTCCTAGAACAACTGTAAATGAGGGAGTCTGGGTGTCTGTTACCAATTCACCTAAATGCCAAGGAGAGAAAAAGGAATTGTTTAATTCTTTACATATGTGACTTCATCACACTTTTTAGAGTTGAAATGCTTATTCAGAAGAGTTTTTATTTTATCTTACATTTAAAGGAAGAGACTTAATCTATATGTTTACTTGATTTCACAAAATGAAGTAAAACTTGGTGTTTGCAATTATAATTAAAAAAAAGAATTAGGTGGTACCTCAGGCCAGGAACAATAGGTCGTTTTCCTTAAAGGCTTTATTCTATTTTAAACATCAGTGAGCCAAATAGGAATCCAAAGATTTGCAGTCAAGATTTCTTTATCCCAGTTCCAATCCAGATTCTGTTCTAGAAGCTTATGCCTAAACTGTAGAGTCTGTAACACTAGCAGGTTTAAAGTTGCATGTCTATTCAGATTGTACTTGGTGTAAAAACTTTGTTTAGAAAAAGCCAGAATAAATAAGATGTCCCAATAGGGAGTGATTTCGGACAAAAATGGGCAGAGGGCAAGGAGTGAGTCATTTTGACAACTCTAGTTTGATATGAGAGAAAGTCATAGAAGTTTTAAAAATCATAATTTCAACATTTGGTCTAATAGTATAATGAACTCTTTCAATGGAACTTCTTGTGTTTTAAAAAAATCTTGATTATACTTCAAGGTGATAGAAAAGTCCAAGCCTCTTAAGAAAGCTCTTTATGTCTGTTTATTTTATATATAAATATGTGTCTCTGCATAAATGCATATACATGTGTATAAGTGGTATATACTATAGAACTCTTTATATGGTTTATTTGCTTTCTATTTTTGTCTACTGTATCTTTTTTTATAGCTCTGTCTATAAGAAAAATATTCATGGTATGCTTGCAACTGATGGCTTTGGGTTGATACCAAATTCCCAGTCAATTCTAAGGTTATTTATAGTTTTGAAACTTCCTTAAAAAGTACTTTGGAACATTTCCATAGAAAAGATACCAGCCCTTAAAAAACTCCAATTAAATTTATGCTGAGCTCAGATTAGATGGCAAAACTCTAGGTATGAAAATATCCACATATAACCATAGATTCATATACAAAATGGTCATGTGATGAGTGGTGTGAAAAATTGGCAGTTACGTCTTAGAGGTGTTCAGGAGGACATGGTGGAGCCATGCAAATGATGACGGTCACACAGCAGTACAACACATCACATGAACAGTGAGAACAGAATATCCCACATGGCAATTTCAGGCTAGTTCCGTCCACTGCTTTTTTCCTTTTTTTTTAAGTTCAGTATTACATAGTCAGTGAATGAATTCTTTGATGGCAGGTGAGATACAAAATAAATTAAAAAATATAAAATTATTTAATTACATTCATCCTGATCCTGAGCTTGCTCGACTAGACTTGAACACCCACTGTATATAATAAATCACTTGACTTTTGTCTTTTAACATCAACTCTTCTTTCATTTCGATTGCAATACAAAAAGGCATTTCTGTTCCCTTATTTTCTTCCAAAAAGGATAAACAGTTGTGGCACCAGAAGTGAATAGATAAAGAGACAGGTGAACTATGACTGTTACCTTGTTTTTTTCTTTATAATGATCAATTACAGAAGTGTTGGCATGAGAAGGATGTGGGACGTTAGGTAGAACTGCTTGCTGCCGGCTTATACTGAATAAAGAGGATGCTCTTCATCAGTCACCAGTGATGGAGCCAATGTGAAAAGAAAACAGAATGGAAGTTTAGAATATCTCATTTTGTACGCTGGCTATGTTATTTTATTTCGCAATTTAGCCCTGCATCCTACAACTCTCAATAATGGTCAGAAATCAACAGATGCCTCCTGGCATGGATCGTGCTCGAAGCCCCTTGTTTCCCCCTCTCTTATGGCTTCCTGCCGTGACTGCTTATACACATTCATCTCTAACCCTTCCTTCTACCTCTCTTCCCCCTCCCTGACCAGCAAGTGTGAACATGCCTTAAATCCCCTGTGTCTGGCACTGGGTCAGATCAAATGCTTTCTTGATCTGTGGCCCAGAAGTCACCTTTGAGTTAACACCTCCCAAAGCATTGCTTGTTTTGCTCAGCTAAGAATAAAGCAGGTATGATTCAAGGATGGGGGAAAAGCTGGAGTTGGAGAGAATTTTAGGGCTGGATTCTTGAGCCTCCTGTGACGGATATTAAGAAGGTTTAGTGGTGCTTGCTTTCAAAGCTTTGGAAAGCTGATGTTCTGGACAGTCTCCTCAAGGACAGGCTGTCCCCTCGGCCCTCCGGCTTGGAGGACTTACTTCTCTGGAAGGGATTTCGCAGGCTTGCTGTGTTCCGCTGCCTGTCGAGTTTGTCACTGATGGAGAAGCTCTTCCTGGTGTGTGCATATGGTGCGCTTGGCTCCTCTGCTGAGTAGCTGTTGGCACGCTCTATCTTGGGGACAGTGATGTTGTTGGACAGGGTTCTGTCTGAGTTATCACCCTCCTGGGAGGATATCGCAATGGTGGCTCTGCGGCTTTTGGCCTCATTCTCCTCACTGTCAGAGCTGGGGTGACTCAGTTCTGCTTCTCGCTCGGGATGGCAGCAAGATAAGTCCTCCACTTTGTCTCCAAGACCTCCAGGGAAGGCAGCTCTGTCTGCAATTGCTTGAGGGGCATTGACACATCTCGTGTCAATACAGTCTGTAATACTTGTATATTCTGCTGTTTTCACAGGCACCCCGAAGTTGGCATAATAGCTCCTTGAAGGAGAAAACATAAAGCTATGAGATTTCACAATGGGAGCCTCTTCTAGAAGAAAGGGTGTAGTGGCTAGGTAGCGGCTGCTTTTGGAGCGCTCAATGGTGTGGTACATTGGAGGGTCTGAGTCCCAGGGGTTTTGGCATTCTGGGAGGTGGGTATAGTCTGAAGAAAAAGATCTAGCGTCCATGGAGGTGATGTCCTCGAAATCAATGCTGCGGCTTGGAGGTCTGTCTGTGGGTGCAAGAGTTGCATAGGCACTACTTGAAGGGGCTGTGGAAGGTACTGGAGTTGAAAAGCTTGGCTCACCCAGCCCAAGGATATTCATGGAATTGTCCAGAGGGTCTATATCACAGTGGAGCTCATCCATAGCAGAGACATAGATGTCTATACACGATGATGGTCTTCTGGAGTCAGGAACAATGGCCAAGGTGTTGGCAGGGGCTGCAGGAGCTTTGGGTTCTTTTGCTACTGAGTGGGAACTAGTAGCCCGGTGTAGGCTCAGGGACCTTTCTTTAAAAATACTTTCCAACTTTTCTATACCACCTTTGTCTTTCATATTGACTGAATAGAAAGAATGGCTTCGCATACGGGGCATTAAGGTTGGAGAAGTTGGGGACATGGTCTCCTCACCTGCAGGGTCTATACTCTCCTGGAGCTTGAAGGTGTTCCCTTCCTGGCTGTTGAAGCTGCTCTGGCGGACAATGTAGGCTGCGTCCGTGCAATCTGAGGAGGTCCTCGAGCGGATTTTGTTGGACTCAGCCCGCTCCAGACCTGTCAGGCGCTCCAGGGCCGTGGCCATGCGCCCGATGAGGTCTTCTAGCTGCGCCAGCCGGATGTCCACAGTCTGGAGCGAAGCCTTCATGGAGTGCTCCCTCTCGTTGACTTCCTCCAGCCGCATGGACATGTTCTCCACCCTGTGCGAGGAAGAGAGAATGAGAACAGAGCCTGGTTCCTCTGCTGGGGCTTAAGAGAGCAAGGCTAAAGGACATCACAGCTGTGCCTGACCTTGGTAACTTCAGTGCTCTCTTCCCAGAGGGAAGACAGGCTACACTTGTTGAGAGACGTTGGGGAGGAGAGGTTGGCATTGACGCTGTGACAGAGAATCACAGAATTCAAATCTTTTTGAGCTGGAGGGGGCTTTAGAGATGATCTAATCCAGTGATTTTTTTTAGCTGTCAATTCCCTTTTCCCTCAAGGAAATGGAATGCACAATCCTGATAAATAGGCACTAAAACGGAACCATTCTTATTGAAATAGAGTGGGGCTGAGTCCACCATGGCCTAGCTGTGGCTTGGGGCAGGGTTTAATGACCTAAGTAAGCATTCAGGTGTTGGCTTATCAGGGTCACCCACAAAATGAGAATGTTGTGTTTTGATGATTTTACCCAGAATTTTGCAATAAAATTTTAGAAACTGGCTATTTTTATTGCAATACACATGTAAAATTTGTATTCCATGGATGTGGGTTATCTTTATTTTGCACTTATACAATAATTTTTATTCATGATAATCTTTTTAAAAGGTTGTATCTCTGAAGGAATTAACATGGCCCAGTTACTGAGGCACCCAGGATTGATGTAATCTAATCCAATCCTTTAATTAATAAAGGAAAAGCAAAACATCAAGAAATTTAACCAAGATTGCATAAAGCAATTTGTCGTAAACACTGGAGTATCTGTCAATAAGTCAGCTCTTCTCCTCTCTCTGTCTCTCCCTCGCTGGTGGGTTGATCACAGATGCCTTATATTACTATTTCTAGACTTCTCCACCCTCCCACTGGAAATTCTTTTCTTTTAAAAATTAAATTAACTTTTTTAGAGATGGGGTTCTCACTTTGTTGCCCAGGCTGGTCCCAAACTTCTGGGCTCAAGCGATCCTCCTGCCTTGGCCTCCCAAAGTGCTGGGATTGCAGGTATGAGCAACCATGCCCTACCTTTTGTTTGTTTGTTTGAGACAAGGTCTCAATCTGTTACCCAGACTGGGTTGCAATGGTGAGATCATAGCTCACTGCAGCCTCGACCTCCCAGACTCAAGAAATCCTCTCACCTCAGCCTCCCTCGTAGCTGGGACTATAGATGCATGCTACCATGCTAGCTGGTTTTTAAAATTTTTTGTAGAGACGGGCTTGCTGTGTGGCCCAGGCTGGTCTTCAACTCCTGGGCTCAAATGGTTCTCTTACCTCAGCCTCCCAAAGTACTGGGATCACAGGTGTGAACCTGGGAATTCTTAGGGGCATGGGCTTTCTTATATTCCTGTTTTCATTTCTATGCCTAATACCTGCCAGGTGTCAACAAATGTTCACTGGGTCAATGACATTTATGAACTTAATTGTCACTCAGTCTGCCTGGCCATTTAAGAAATTTAACTAAGATTGCATAAAGCAATTTGTTGTAAACACTGAAGTATCTGTCAATAAGTCAATTATTCTCTTCTCTTTGTAGAAGCCACATATTAGAGGGCACATATTAAAAATAAAATCGTACCTTATTTTTGACTTGCTCAAATTAACTTGGAAAGGACAAAGCAAAGCCAAGTAAGTCATAATTTCAGCTCAGACTTTCACTTTTAAATGTCCAAAGACAAACCTTTTGGTGAATTTAAATGAGACCCATGCACAACTTTTCTGGAGAGGATTAAAGTTACTTTTTCCAATCCTTTCAATATGCAAAAGTAAATCATTTGACTGCTGATCCTTCAGGTACATGCTGCAGGTAGACCATGCTTCAGAATGGATGTGGGAATTAGGCTGGGTCCCTGCAGTCTCTGGGGGTGGGGGTGAGGTGTTAATGACAGCAACACCTCTATTAGGGAAGCACATACATTTCAATGCCTGAAGCAGGTATAATATAAGAGGCATGTGGATCTCTGAGAGACCTGTAGGCTTCTTAAAAACCTCCTCTCCTGCTGGCCAGGAGCATGGGGGTGTGACTCCTCTGCCTTGTGGCACATTTCTGCCTCTCTAAGGGCCCCCACCCCCACTCTGCTTTTATCCTTCAGTTTCCCTTCACACAGCCGAAGGTCCCAGCCTGCCCTTAAGAGCCCTGCTTGTTATTTTTTCTTTTGCTCCCTCCTGCTGCCCTATAACCAACCCAGCACATCTCAGGGGCCAGACACACTCTGCCACCATGCCCAGCTGTATTCTCAGAAGACTTGTACATTGAGCCATTCTGTATCTGGCAAGCTCAATGCCATGCACTCAGCTGACACAGTTAATTCAGAAAGAAAATACAGCGTTTTCCTCTGTCACTTCATTTTGTCATATAAACATAGCCAAAGAAACAAAATTACTTAAAATAACAAGTTTGTGCATCTCATAGACTTGCAATTTTCACCATCTAGCCTATGGAGTTTGATTCTGCAAGTACTGTAGTTAAATTTTTTGCATTGCAATAATCTGTTATATTTATTTATTTTTGAGTTAACATTTCACTCTGTCACCCAGGCTGGAAGACAGTGGTGAAAATATGGCTCACTGTAGCCTTGACTTCCCAGGCTCGTGATTCTCCTACTTCAGACTCCCAAGTAGCTGGGACTATAGGTGAGCACCACCATGCCCAGCTAATTTTTGAATAACTTTTTTGTAGCAATGGGGTCCTATTCTGTTGCTCAGGCTGGGCTTGAAGTCCTGGGCTCAAGCGGTCCTCCCACCTGGGCCTCCCAAAGTGCTGGTCTTACAGATATGAGCCACCACGCCCAGCCAATAAACTTTGTTAAGTGTATAAAATACTTGTTCCTTTAAGTCCAGAGGAGGACAGATCCTGCATTTCTGTAGCACGAGATGTTTTGCTTAACATACTTTAGGTATTGGGTCTCACTAGCTCTCTCATGCTAGGAGAGTAATAAGAGGCAGGGTCGTTTTATTTCTCTTTCTCCCTTTCTCTCTGGAGCCCATTGTGTACCAGGTTGGTACTGACGGAGATGAAGTTGCTGTTTTGACCTAACTGCATGTGGTCACTGGTCTGAGTGCTGTGAGGTATCTCCTTGCCATTGCCTGTGCTGTGGGGGCCTCTCTGTCCACATCCCACCCCCCACCTTCAGCCCCAGGTTCCAACGCTATAGAGAAAACTCATAGGTGAGAGGCAGGGCTGATGCAGCAACAACAGGTAACAGAAGAGTCAGGACTTAAAAAGCCATGTGTACCTATAGCCCCAGCTACTCAAGAGGCTGAGGCAGAAGAATGGCTAGAGCCCTGGAGTTCGAGGCTGCAGTGAGCTATGACTGTGCCATAGCACCACAGACAGCCTGGGCAACACAGGGAGATCCTGCCTCTTTTTATTAGTATTTATTTTTATTTTACTTTTTTTTCTGAGACAGGGTCTCACTCTGTCACCCAGGCTGGAGTGCAGTGGCACGATCACAGTTCGCTGTAGTCTTGACCTCCCGGGGCTCAGGCAATCCTCCACTGCAGCCTCCTGAGTAGCTGGAACCACAGGCATGCACCACGACACCCAACTAATTTTTGTACTTTTTGTAGAGACAGGGTTTCACTATGTTGTCCAGGCTGGTCTCAAACTCCTGGTCTCAAGTGATCAGTCATCCACCTCAGCCTCTCAAAGTGCTGGGATTTTTACAGACAGGAGTCACTGCACTCAGCATTCCCCCCCCCCCAACAAAGAAGAGTCAGGACCTGGTTGCTTGGATGTAGGCAGTAAACTGGATGCAGAAACTGAGTAGCCAAAGGAGATGACAGGATGGCAGAGCAATGCAGGAGGAAGAGTCTCCTCAGGGAAGGAGAAGGTATGTGGGAAAGCCCCAAGAGTGAATGCAGGACATGGAACCAGGAGACAGAACCCTGTTGGAATAGGGCCAAGCAACTGTTCTCATCAAACCTTAACTCTCCTATGGACTCAGAGATGGGCTGAAAGGTAAGGCTTGACTAAAATAATAATGGACTGTTTTCTCCATTTTCTCCCAGAATTCTGGGTGTGTTTAACCATCAAATGTATGATCGATCACCTAGGTTATGGACTTAACTGATAGGGGTTCAATATAGGGGTTATAAAAGAATTAAAAAGTCCTAGAGTCAAGGTTACATATGTTTGTTTCATAACTAGACTGCTCCCTTGAATCTTTAAAAGAAATATTTTCAGGTTGGGTACAGTGGGTCACACCTGTAATCCCCGCATTTTGGGGGGCCGAGGAAGATGGATCACTTGAGCCCAGGAGTTTGAGACCAGCCTGGGCAACATGAGGAGACACGGTTTCTACATAAATGCAAAGATCAGCTGGGTGTTGTGGTACATGCTTGTAGTCCCAGATACTTAGGCCGAGGTAGGAGGATCATTTGAGCCTAGGAGATTGAGGCGGTGGTGAGCCCAGATGGCGCCACTGCACTCCAGCCTGGGTGACACAGTGAGACCCTGTCTCAAAAAAAGAAAAAAAAAAAAAAGTATAAATGGAGAGGTGTCACAGATATAAAAAGACCTGAGGTACAGACCAACAGTTTTGGGTCATGATTGTAGTCACTAAGAACTGATTCTGATCAAAGAATTTGGGGGATACAAATGGAGATATATATGGATGATAACAGATTCATGGATAGTTTAAGGAAACAGGTACCTAAAGTGACTAAGGAAAAGAGGCACTGCAGAGAGGAAGAGATGCTATGGGAGAAACTCTTTATTGAACGTTCCCTCTTTCAAATCTCCAACCTCGAATGGCTCATTTCTGAATAACTCAAGTGGTGATCAGAGCAGGGACACAATGGGGTGCTGGAAAACTGTGGGGAGGCCCATGAGAGGAGGTCCAATAGGTAGGTGCAAAACCCCAGCTAAGATGATAAGTAGCCTCTTCAGCCAGCACTATGTCCTCACAATTGGGAGAAATAACTCCTAATTGTGATCTCCAGAAAATGTAGGTAACCCTTAAGTACCAATAGGAAATAAAAAATGCCAGGAAAATAGCATTCAAAAGAT